TACTACTACACTACTACTACTAATTCTACTACTACTACTACGACTGCGACTACTACGACTACGACTCACTACTACGACTACTACTACTACTACTTCTACTACCACTTCTACTACTACTGCTAGTCATACTACTTCTTGTACAACAGCTAGTACTGTTATCACTACTAAGAAACGACCACTACTACTACTACTACTACTACTACTACTACTACTACTACTACTACTACTACGACTACGATCACTACTGTTATTCATGCTACGACCTGTACTACTAATATTACTGCTACTACGACTACGAGTACTACTGCTACTCCTACTACTCTACTACTACTACTACTACTACTACTACTACTACTACTACTACTACTACTACTACTACTACTACTACTACTACTACTACTGCTACTACTACTACTACTACTACTACTACTACTACTACTACTACTACTACTACTACTACTACTACTACTACTACTACTACTACTACTACTACTACTACTACTACTACTACTACTACTACTACTACTACTACTACTACTACTACTACTACTACTACAGAAAGGAAGGAGGCACGGAGGGAGAGATGGGAAGTGGGAAAAGAAGCACTTCCACCACGGCTATGACAATCTCAATCCACTACTGCGCACGAAGGCACTGCCATGACCACTGTCACCACCACAATCAACACTACCCATACCGCAACGGTAATCGACAAGTAGGTAGCAGCCACCATCTCGCAAGTCCACAAAAATAAAATACGTCTCCAAGGGGGGAAGACATCCGCTTCAACACCAAATCGCAGGAGTCGTCAGTGCTCGAAGTCTTTGTAGTCCTCCGCCTTACCAAGCCAAGTCTCCCTCGTCAATTACGACTCCCGCGTATAGAGTTCTTCACTATTCTTCAGCTTCATGATTCATCTTCGTCTGGCCTCCTCATATTCCTCAATAGCCCTATCGCGTCCTCCTCGTCACCCCCTGCACTCTGATCTTCGTCTCTGTGTTATTAGCTTATATTCCTCCTTCATCCTGATCCTCCCCCTCCTCCTCCTCCTCCTCCTCCTCCTCCTTTTCCTCCTCCCTCCTCCTCCTTCTCCTCCTCCTCCCACTCCTCCTCCCGCTCCTCCTCCTCCTCCTCCTCCCCCTCATCCTCACCTCATCCTCCCTCGTCCATGCGCGTTCGTCATTCCTGTTCATCCTGCAATTCTTGAGGTCGACGCAGAGTCCACAGAATGCCTTGGGCTTGGAAGCAGCCCAGGTTTCTGGACTGGCTGGGACCCCAGGACATCGGCCAGGAGGCTCAATCTTAGGAGGCAACTACTGGGAGGTTTCCGTCGGAAAGGTTAAAACAGATTAAGCCTATGTGGGAGCTGTCACGCCGGAAAAGCCTCGGATTAAGCGGGATTAAGCCGGATTAAGCGGGATTAAACGGGATTGAGCCGGATTAAACCGGATTTCGGACCAGGGCGAAAACAGAGTTTGACCTCCCAAGAATTGCATCCGAATCAATCTGCTCAAAATCTGTCCCCGAACCCCTCCCGGCATCCATCCGGTGCAATTGTTCACTCTAACTCGATGTTTTTCACGGTCCCGGGATCCGAAAACGGCCCTGGAGGCCGACAAAGGCGACAGCAACGACAGCCTTCCCGAACTCTGGATCTCGAGGCTGTGCGCTCTCTTGGCTGGCTGGACCTGCTGCTGGGTCGCCGACCCCCAGACGGCTTCCGACCCCGGGCGACCCTGGCAGGTCCTGCAGAGGTCCCCGGATGCCTCAGGAGCGGGCCCCCGACATCTTGGCCAAGAGTTAGGTCGGGCCTGTTCCCCAGGGGGATTTGGGGCGACAAATCTCAAATACTAAAAAAATACGCCCGAAATGTCCACAAATACCGCTACAAAATCGTCCCCTTACCATTTTTGGATTATTGTTTGAATACTTTTGATTATTTTGCTGATTATTATCATGTTTTGACTATTCTTTGTTCTGAGGCAGGCTGAGGCCGAGGCTGGCTGAGGCCGAGGCAGGCTGAGGCTGAGGCTGAGGCACGCCGAGGCAGGCTGAGGCTCAGGCTGAAGCTGAGGCAGGCTGAGGCTGAGGCTGAGGCAGTGGCTGAGGCTGAGGCAAGCTGCGGCTGAGGCAGGCTGAGGCTGAGGCTGAAACAGGCTGAGGCTGAGGCAGGCTGAGGCTGAGGCTGAGGCAGGCTGAGGCTGAGGCAGGCAGAGGCTGAGGCCGAGGCAGGCTCAGGAGGCTGAGGGAGACAGAGGCTGAGGCATGCTGAGACTGAGGCTGAGGCAGGCTGAGGCTGAGGCTGAGGCTGATGCAGGCTGAGGCTGAGAGGCTGACGCTGAGGCTGAGGCAGGCTGAGGCTGAGGCTGAGGCCGAGGCAGGCTGAGGCTGAGGCGAGGCAAGCCGAGGCAGGCTGAGGCTGAGGCTGAAGCTGAGGCAGGCTGAGGCTGAGGCTGAGGCTGAGGCTGAGGCAATGCTGAGGCAAGCCGAGGCAGGCTGAGGCTGAGGCTGAAGCTGAGGCAGGCTGAGGCTGAGGCTGAGGCTGAGGCTGAGGCAATTGCTGAGGCAAGCTGCGGCTGAGGCAGGCTGAGGCTGAGGCTGAGGCTGATGCAGGCTGAGGCTGAGGCAGGCTGAGGCTGAGGCTGAGGCAGGCTGAGGCTGAGGCTGAGGCAGGCTGAGGCTGAGACAGGCTGAGGCCGATGCAGGCTGAGGCTGAGGCCGAGGCAAGCCGAGGCAGGCTGAGGCTGAGGCTGAGGCTGATGCTGAGGCAGGCTGAGGCTGAGGCAGGCTGAGGCTGAGGCAGGCTCAGGCTGAGGCCGAGGCAGGCGAATTATTCGGAATCCTTAGGATTACTTAGAAATCCTTAGGAATCCCTAGGGATCCTCAGGAATCAGGATTCCTAAGAATTCCTAAGGTTTCCTAAGGATTCCTATGGATTCCTAAGGATGCCTAAGGATGCCTTAGGAATCCCAAGGAATCCTTAGGATTCCATTGGATCCTAAGGCCGTTGCCACTGCGACTGTCATTGCGAATGCGACTGCGAGAACAGCAGAATTCTACAACTGGATTCTCACCTCAATATTAAGCGGAATGCTTCCAGATATGCTTATACACTGCGCTGTTAGGTTGCTTTGCCGGGATAATTTTAATATTCCTCCTGTAGAGGGGCAGGCCCGCCTTAAGCCACGAGCTCCAAGGCGAATCCAACCGTGGCGACGACGGCCCCCAGGAAGCCCCAAGGAGGCGAGCGCGAGTGAAGGGCAGCGGCAGCCTGACATCCCCCCTCCTCGAGATCTTCGATCCTCCTGCTGGACTCTCTGACGCTTCAGATAGGAGGCAACTACTGGGAGGTTTTCGTCGGAAAGATTCAGGAGGATTAAGCCCAATTTGGAAGCTGTTACGACGGAGTGGGCCTCGGACTGAGCGGGATTCAGCTGGATTAAGCGGGATTAGCAAGATTAAGCGGGATTGAGCCGGACTTCGGACCAGTGCAAAATCAGAATTTGACCTCCCAGGAGTTGCAGTTCAACAGATGGTTCCCTCCTCCCCTCAGCGCCCGCGCGCCGTGCAGCCGTCTTCTCAGGCACGGCGCCGGGGACCAACTCCGAGATCCCAGACCCCCGACGTGGCGTTTTTGTTCACAACTTCGCCCCCCAAAGGTCTGGACCCCTTCCTCGAGACCGGTGTTTCCTTCTGCGCCGTTGTTTGACGATCCCGAGGCCCAGCAAGGGCCCCGGGAGGCTGAAAATAGCGAAAAGCCTCCCGTCGTGACTTTTTCACCACGCGAGGGGGTCTGGGAACTCTGAGATCCTCGCCCCTCGAAAAGACCACTTGTTTTTCCTTGCCTGGGTAACGGTCGCTACCCGCACGGGGGGGGGGGGGAACGGGAACGGCGACTGCGGGGTGCACCCGCCAAGGTGCGTTCGCGTCACTGGCGCATCCATCGCCCGTGTGCACCATCTCATGCAGGGGGGGACACAAGACCCCCCCCCAGCACGACCGCCAGCGCTGCCCGAGAGGGGGGAGGGAGGGGTTGGCCATGGTGACGAGCGGCTGGCGTTGCCCGAGAGGGGGAGGGGTTAGCGTTACCCGAGAGAGAGTCGGGTCGGGCGGAAGGGGGGGATAGCAAAGGGGGGGTTTGAGAATCAGCTCACGTAGCTGATTTTCGCGGCGCCTCCCGGCGCCGGAGGCGGCCATGTATCGAGGAATGGGCCCCTCGGTGAGGCCGAAACCAGCTGCATGCAGCAAATTTCGTACCCCCCCCCCTTTCCCAATCCCCCCCTCTCGCCCGGCCCGAGAGAGGGGGGGGGGCGCAACCGAAGGGCCCACCGGAGAGATCCTCCCTCCTCCGCGACGCCCGCTCCTCGAGGCACAGGGAGGCCCGCACGGGGGGCGGGGGGGCGAGAGGCGCGCGCGCCCGCGGGGCAGCGAGTGCAGGGCGGGCCCGCGGGGGGCGGCGGGCGGGGGCGCGAGATGTACTGGCCGGCGGCGTCGAGCTCGGGGTCCCTCGATCTGTCAGGGGGAGGCCTCCTTCTTCTCCTCCTCCTCGTCCTCCTCGTCCTCCCCTTTCTTCCTTCAACTCCCTTGTCCTTTCTCCCTCCTTCTCCTTTTCCTCCTCGCCCCCCTCCTGCTTTGGGGCCCGGGGGAAGCTCGGGCGAGGAGACATCGGCGGCCCTCTTTGATGTTTTTGTCCGCCTTTCTGGGCTTCCGGGGGGCGTCTCGTCGCCACGGCTGGATCCTCCTCTGTTAGGGGGAGAGGGGGGGGAGGCGAATTTCAGAGGGAAGAGGGAAGGGGTGGAGCGGAGGGGATCGGGCGGAGGGAACACGAGGACAGGGGAACGAACGGAGGGAAACGGAGGGAGGGGGGGGGGGAGCAGGAGGAGAGACAGAGGAGCGGGGTGGGTGGGCGGCGGGACGGAATGGGATGGGGGGATGAGGTGGACGAGGCGAAGGGTGCGGGAGACCTTGCCGTCGCTCGGAGGTCCATGCCCCGAGTCACGTCTCGGTGCCGCTCCTGTTCTCGAGAGGTGGCCCGACGTGCTCCCCGATGGCCCCCGCTGGAGAAACAGGAGCACACGTCCGGGCGATGCCAAGGGGTACCCGTCGGTCGGAAGGAGTGGGCAGAACCGCGAGGTAGGACGACGGGTGAAAGCAGGTTGGGGGCTGGGCCCCCCCAGAGGATGCCCAAGCACAGCAGAAGCATGTCAGCTCTTGAAGTCAGAGGGCGCCTGAAGTCGACTGGGACCTGCAGGCAGGCAGCCCGATCGAGCCCATGCTCGGCCCCGAGTCGGGCGCGACCACGCTAGACCTCGAGCATCGCAGCTGGCACTCGAGTGAAAAACGCGAGCCCGTCTTCGTGCCGAAGACGAGCCTTGTGCAGCGGCGCCCCTGGCCAGTCTGACCCATAGAACTCGCACGGCATCTGGGAACCCCAAGAGAAAGAAAGCCTGCCCTCCAAGGACCGGCGGGCGGGGCTGTCGGGAGGAGGGGGAGGGGGAGGAGGAGCCTGACACACACACACACACACACACACACACACACACACACACACACACGCACGCACGCACACCCACACCCACACCCACACCCACACCCACACCCACACCCACACCCACACCCACACCCACACCCACACCCACACCCACACCCACCCACCCACACACACACACACACACGCACACACACACACACACAAATCCGTATAATAGTTGCTTGCCAAGGTAGGGGGGGGCGCGTGGCTGAAATGAGATCCCGCGGTGCGGATTGGTGCTGCGGTTGCGTAGCAATTGCCGTTGTCACTGTCGTCGATCTCGCCCGCGACCCCGCCGCGACCCACCCGCGACGCACCGCGAACCACCTGCGTACGACCCCTCGCCCGCCCACTCGCTCTTAGCCGCAACTGCTGTGCACCAATACTGCTAAGTCGGGCGTGTCCCCCTACAGGGGGATTTTCGACAAAAAAGTCAAAAATACTCCAAAATGATCAAACAAAATAATTTAAAAATAGTCCTCATGTTATTGAATCGCTTCCCTCATTCCGCCGGCCCTGGAGCGCTATTTAGAGCCTCTTGGGGCCGTCTTGGGGGCTTCTTGGGGTCTTCTTGGGAGCGTCTTGGGGCTCCCTGGCAGCGTATTGGGCTCCCCTGGAGCCTCTTGGGGGGCTCTTTGGGGCCCCTTGGGGCGGGAGGGGGGGTAGTCGATTGCAGCACCCCCCTCGGAGGCCACGATCCTCGTGAGGGATGGCGAAAAATAGCCTCCCCCCTGGGGATCGCCCGGGACCCAGCCGGGGATCGGCCGGGGTACTTTTCGCCCGGGGCCCCCCAGGGGCCGCCCCGCGCGCGCGAACCAGAAATATTGTTAAGTTGTTACCGGAGATCTTAGCACGCCTCTGGCCCGTTGGGCCGCCGTTTTTTTTTTTTGTTTTTAAGTTCTGAAGCTTCCTCCTGTATAGAAGGACAGGCCCGACGTAACCAAACTGTTGCTCCACGGGTCTCTCCCTGGACGCCCTCTGCCCAGGCAGTCCGCGGCGGGCCCCGCCGCGGCGACGGGAGCCTCCGTGGAGGCCCGGAGACAGACGAGCACGAGGAGGGCAGCGGCATCGGTGCCGCCGTCTCGCCCTCGCTCGGGCGTCCAGTCCACGTGTGTGTTTCGATGTCGTGCGTGTTTTTTTGTTCGCGAAATGTTCAAGGATGGTCCTCGATGGCCGTCGCCGAGAAAAAAAAACACGTTCGAGCGATGCCAAGCCGTTCGGCGGCGAGCGAGGGGGAACCCGAGGAGGAGGCCTTCTCAGAGGTGGCGGGGCTTCTCACGGGGCCGAACCTGAACGGTGTGTTTCGTTTTCGTGTTGTTCTCGCTTTCCCTCGCTGTTTGTCTCGAACCCGCCTCTGCCTCAAGACGAAGTCGAAACGGAAACGGCATACGAAATCGAAAAAAAAACACCGTTTAGGTCCAGCCCTGGCTTCTGAAAGGCCACCCTGGGCCTTCTGAGAAAATGCCCGTGTCTTCGGGGAAGCTCAGAAGCCTCCTCAAGGGGTCGGGGGCCCTCCGAGCCCTCCGAGAAGGCCCGCCCCCGTTGATTTCCCCTCTGGGCTGGCAGCCGAACCTCGCCCTCCTCTGAATTTCACGAGCCGCGAAAGTTCCCCCTCCCCCCCCCCCCTCACCGCGAAGACGGGAGTGGGCGCGGGGCGGAGGTTGCCACAAGGGGGGGGCCTACCCGAGCCTGCGCTGCATCCAGAACTGCGATGGTCTCAAGGCTGGTGCCGCCAACCCTGAAGGAGGAGGAGGACGACGACGACGATGACGACGGTGAAGACGACGTCGACGACGACGGCGACGGCGATGCCGACGACGACGGCGACGGTGGGCGCGCGGCGGAGGCTGCCAAGGGGGGGGGGGCACGCAGCTGCCCGCGCCTGCGCCCCGAAAACCTCACGTCCGCCTCAGCGAGCTCCTGGCGGCGGGGAGGAGGCATCTTTTTCCCATGGGCCCGCCAGCACCGAGAGACATGGTGGCGCCGCGGGGAGGAAGAGCAAGCTCGTGAAGTGCCGTCTCCAACGCTGGTTTCTGACACCGCGGGGATCGTGCAGCTTGGAACGCTCCGCCGTTTCCAAAAACGTCAGATCGTTCGGCACCGACCGAATCTGGGTCGCCCGAGGCGCTCAGAGTTGAGCGCCAGCGACCGAGGGGGCAGGCAGAGTTGGAACAATAGAGCGCGAACAAGCTTCGGGAGCGGCCAAGAGGGGGGTGGCCAAGAGGGGGGGGGGGGGGGGCAAATCATGACCGGCGGCATGTGCCCGCCAGCGGGGGCGCCAGGGACGTAATGAAATAAGAAGAGGCGCCATGAAATCTGCGGAAATATCATGACCCCCGCCATGGTATCTCCCCCCCCTAGTCATCACCCCCCTCTTTTCCGCCCCGGAAAGCTGTATAAACGCAAACTGTCGAAGCTCCGCGCGGACTTCTTGGATATTTCGCTCGGGCCCCCGGCGTGGCGGCGCCTCTGGCGCCGCCGCCGGCCCGCTCCGCGCCAGAACGGGAGGGCCCAGCGCGGATCCAAGAAATCCTCGCGGAGCTCCAAAGGCAGGGCTGAACCTAAACGGTGTGTTTCGTATTCGTGTTGTGTTCGTTGTCCCTCGTTTTTGCCTCGAATCTGCCTTTACCGCAAAAAGAGAGCGAAACGAAAACGGCAAACGTAATCACCAAAAACACCGTTTATGTCCAGGCGTTATTAATTCAGGTGCTGACCCCGCAAATTCGACTACGTAAGAGGTTGGCCCCGTCCCCGACCCAGTTCAATTGACCAGCGCCCTCCATTGCGTTTAGACAGATGTTAATCTGCTCTCTGCTGCGTCCCAATTGCACATATGAGATCACACTGCGTTATTCATGAACCATATCTTTGCTGCGAGACGCATTCGCCGACTGCGGGTGTACTGGATGAGCGTTGCGCAACGACGGGCGTCCGATACCCTCTCCCCTGAAGATGACGTCACGTATGCCATGCTTCACGCGGGTTTTCTACAGGCAGCGCGCGCAAGGGGGGAGCGCCCACACCTTGAACACAGAGACGCGGCCTTTCCTCCTGCTCCCCCTCCTTCTCAGTAGGGATACTAGGCCCCTGGCAGTAGTAGAGAGTGTACATATGAATTATAAGTCAGATTGGAACAGGATGTTCAGAAGTGACTGAGAGAGCTCCGCTTTCAGGGCACAAAGTTTTGCAGACACCCTGTACCCAGTTGTCTCGCTCAGGCCTTCCAAAAACTAACTCTGGTAGCGGAGCTGGTTTCGACCAACTCCGGGCACCGCCCCACAGGCGACCACGGGGCCCGCGCCATCCGCGCCACTCGCGCTGCCAGGCAGCGCTCGACTTCCCCAAGACGAAGTACCGGTGGCTGATCCTCAGCCTCTTCCATATCAACGAGAGTTGCGCTGAGGGTGATCCCGCGAGCATCCACGGCATCGAGATAGGAGAGCCCGACGCGAACACCCACCAGGACAACGGCAGCAAACATATGGATTGCTACCTGGACGGTTTCACCTTCTACGACACTTGCGACGAGAGCTCCGAACATCCCATATTCCTGGACAGCGACTACGACAACGACACAATGGCTGGTAAGTATGATGATCACGAGAAAGGAGGTCTCAGCCTGGAGGACTTCACAGAGTGTACCTCCAGGGTGGAAACCCAACATTCGAGGATAGACATTCTGGAAATAGATGCAGTAGAAATTACGATCATGGTGGAGGATCACGGACGAGGAGTGTGAAGAACGCATTGGCCCATTGATCGTGAGTCGGTTGAAGGGCCCGCCATTTACACAGGCAATGAGTTACACGATCACTCGCGGCGAGGTGACCTACCGAGGCGACGAGGCCATGGCACTACCGGCAATTCCCGTAGATGCAGCTCAAGGCGTGGTTGGAGAGCACAGCGGCATTTGACAAGTTGAAGTCAGTTTACGAGCTGCACGACCAAGATCGCGTGGGCATCGTGCTGGACGCCTACTTCGACTGCAGGCGTGGCAACAGCGATCTCACGACCTGGATTGCGCAGTACGAAATGGCATACGATGACGCCTGTGAAGAAGGTGGTCTTCAGACGAGTACAGTGGGCAAGGCACACTTCTTACTCAAGAATTCAGATCCCAGTGAGAAGCGCATCGACGACAGTAAACTGCACGTTGGAGGCGACTTAGCTCAGTATCAAGCCATCCGAGGGTTGCTCATGAGATTAGGCAAACAAGATCAATCAAAACACCATCAAAATTGGGCACCCTACACATATCATAATGGCGACGAATATGATCTCACGGAATATCATGATATCTGGTACGAGGCCTACGACGTGAACGAGTATGGATGGGGCTGGACTGATGACGAAGGATGGAGTGCAACCCTCGACGGCGAGTGGTACTACATGATAGACGACGATACATGGCTGCAGATTGATCAGGACGGCGAATGCCCAGAGGAACTTACGACTGAGGATTACGCCATCTACTAAGGCGGCAGCAAAGGCAAGAACCGTGGCAAAGGATACGGCGGCGGCAAAGGGTATCGACGCAGTAGCAACGGCAAGAACAGAGGCAAAGGCAAGCGCAGAGGCAAGAAGTTCGTGCCCAACCACGGTGACAAAAGCAATCACGGAGGAACTCAGAATTATTGCAGTACTTGCGGCAGCAAATGGCATCGACATGATCAATGTCCCACGAAAGGTCAGCAACCCATGGCATCAGCAGCGCCTCCTCAACCTATCAAGGCACGCTGTCGTGGCAAGACCGGTGATCGACATCATGCAAATCAAGAGCCAGCTGGCTCGGGAGCATCCGTCAATGGTTTCAGTTATCACAATTCCTCAGCAGCCAGTTGGCATCATCTTCCTGACATGGACGTGAGCTCACCGGTGCCTACTGACAGTGGCCTGACTGGTACAGCAACATCGGTAGCCAGCACAATTCCAGTCCAGCATATCATTCCTGAAGGCACCGAGACCGAAGATACCACCACAGAGCGGACTCATCATTCTCCCGACGAGCACTACGACACGCATGATCCGGAAGCATATGTGTATGATCGCACATGGCACAATGCAGTTGGCTATGGTTACGACAACTTCGGTTCGGCAGCTGGACCGAGAACGAAAGGCACAGGTAAGAACAATTATTTATCCACCTTCCTGGAAACGCGATCCGAAGATTGAGCAGCCGCTCCTCAGGGGGCTGGTGGGATTCGATTACACAATGCCCAGAATCCACCCCACCAGCTATCTGAACGTACGTGGTTTAACGAAGGTTTGTCTTCTAGCCATCCTTTCCCTGCTCGGGGGAGGGGTTTGCCCCTCTCCCTGCCCCCTCCCCTGGGCATTATATGAGAGGGGGGGGGGACGGAAGGGCTAGAGCGTTGGCCTCGGCGAGGAAGCCAAAATCATTGATTTGACTTAGGTTTTGGCCACATGTTGGCCTCCCGGGGGGGCAACCCTACGTGAAGCTCTGCTCTTCCTTGATAGATCTCCTCCAGGATGGCGCAAAGAAGCGCCCAGGAGGCCCCAAGAGGTGCCAACATGGCCCCAAAATTGCCCCAAGAGGCCCCCAGGACGCCCCCAAGAAGACCCTCAGCGGCCCCAAGAGCCCCCCTCCGAGGCACCCATGATCCCGAAGAGACTCCCCATAGTCTGGGGACTATTTTTGAGTGTTTGTCCATTCTGGAGTATATTTTTCTGGTATTTCTAATCGTTCGTCGGAAATCCCCCTGTAGGGGGACACGCCCGACGTTGCTGATTTTCCCGGCGCCTCCCGGCGCCGGAGGCAGCTGCATGCAGCAAATTTCGTAACCCCCCCTTTCCCTATCCCCCCCTCTCGTCCGGTTCGATCCCTCCTTCCCGCGTGTCCTTCCTTCCGCATTCTTCCATCCGCCGTCCCGCACGGCCCGGCGCGCGTCACGAGAGGCCTGCACCAGGGACGACACGTCGTGCAGGGTCACGTCGATCTCCTTCTTGGGCATCTTGGGGCCCTCGGGCGCCGCCGACCACTCGCAGACCCAGGCTGCAGACCCCGCCTTGTGGTCATGCCACAGGGCCCGTGCACATGCCAGGAAGCGAAGGCAGGGGCGGCGTTTCGAATAGACAGTGCGTGACCGACAACTTCACATGCGTGTATATACATATATATATATATGTGTATATCTACATACGTAATACATGTACATACATATATATATACATATATATAAACATACATACATACATATACATATATACATCTATATATATATATATATATATATATATATAAATATATAGATAGATTATCTCCCAATCCTATAAAATTGCATCTGGACTCCCTTCCTGAGATCTGCCCCCCCCCTACGCCGTCCCCTCCCCCTCCAGGGCCCAAGGATCACTGGAGGTCCTCCCCCGGACGGGCCCCAGACCGCCCAAGGATGCGTAAATGCCGTCCTGAGGGCTTCCGAAGCGCACGGGGGTAGTCCCAGATTGCCTCCAGACGGCTCCAGAAGCTCCTTGGACTCATAGAAAAAGCACCATTCGGATCCACAAGATGGCGCAAAGAAGCAAAAACAAGTGATTCCACTAGGATTTTCTCACAGATTTCGCGTTCGTGTTTCTATCATCCGACCGCGTGCTCTGATCATCGGCATCACCACCACCATCACCATCACCATCGCCATCGCCATCATCATCATCATCATCATCATCATCATCATCATCATCATCATCATCATCATCATCACCATCGCCACCGCCATCACCATCACCATCACCATCACCATCACAATCATCATGATCGTCATCATCACCATCACCATCACCCTCATCGTCGCCACCACCATCATCATCATTATCAACATCATCAGCGTGACCATCCGCATGATCAGCATCATCATCAACATTATCATCGATATCATCATCTGGACCACCACCACCACCATCGAAATCACAGCCACAATCACCATCACACTTACTAGTGTAATCACCACCATCATGAAGATCATCGCCGGCATCATCCGCACCATCATTATCGTCATCAACATCAGGATCACCATCATCGTCACCAACATCGCCAACATCGTCATCAGCATCAGCATCACCATCATGATTATCATTGCCGTCGTCATCATCATCATCGCCATCATCCTCATCGTCATCGTCATCCTCATCATCATCATCCCCATCATCAGCATCAGTACCATCAGCACCGCCAGCACCATGATGATGATAACCAGGATCATCATCATGAGCATATCACCATCGCCATAGTTGCCACCATCACCATCGTCAACACAAATATTCTCATCAACGCCATCATTATAGTCGGAAACACCACCATTATGATAAGAGTAGCGGAATCTGAACCATCACCATCCCAATGGCGAGCATCATCATCATCACCGTCACCACTACCAAGATCACCGACGCCATCGCGCCACCATCAGTAATCGTTATCATCATCACCAACACCATCATCATCGCCATCAGCATCATCATCACAATCATCACCACCATCACCACCACCAACACTACCACCACCGCCATCATCATCAACAACACCATTCATCGCCATAGCAGCATCAGCAAAACCGTCATCATCAACATCAACATTACTTTTTCCATCACCATCGCCATCATTGCCAGCAGCATCGGCAATATCATCATCAACCTCAGCAGCTCCACCACCATCTACATCACCGTCATGATGACCGTCATCATCATCCCAAGCAGCATCATCAACATCATTACCAGCATGATCAGCATCAGAACCATCGTTAGCATCAGCATCCGCATCATCAATATCAGCTTCGTCACCATCATAAACACCAGCACCATCACCATCATCATCACATCATCGCCTCGAACGGCGCAACCCTCACGTGGCGAGTGGCCCCAGACGGGACCTCCAGCGAAGTCCCCAGTGGCTGCGTTCGCGCGACACCACCACCACTACTGTTTGTAAAGGGATACGACCGAGGGGTCGATCCTATACCTGTGTCCGTAGGTAGAGGCAAAGGAGGATGAGGTTAGCTTCTCCTTCTCCTGGGCGCTGCGCAGAGGGCAGCGCGGTGTGTATGTCAATGCCAATGCCTGAGCCGATACGTTAGCGGGTTCTACACACAGACACCACCACAACTACAATGTCGGTACCCCCATCACACGCCTCGTGATCCCGCAATTGCTGCGTCCGCATGGCTGCTCGAGTCCATGCCGGCACACCCCTCACACGCTCCGTGGCCCCAATGAGAGGGCTCCTCCGAAGGCCCCAGTGGCTGCGTCCGCATGGTTGCTCGGGCCTATTCTGGCAGACCCCTCACACATGCCGTGGCCCCATAAGGGGCTACATCGAAGGATCTGGTTGCTGCGTCCGAATGGTTGCTCGGGTATATTCTGGCACACCCCTCACACATGTCGTGGCCCCAACGGGAGCTCCACCGAATGCTTCAGTGACAAGGTCCGCATGGCTACTCGGGTCTTTTCTGGCACACCCCTCACAGGTTTAGTGGCCCCATGGGGAGTTCCGCCAAAAGCTCCAGTGGCAGCGTCCGCATGCATACTCGAATATATCTTTGGCGCACCCCTTTCACTTTCCGTGGCCCCATAGGGAGCTCCACCGAAGGCCCCAATGGCTGTGTCCGCATCGCCACTCGGGTTCATTCTGGTACATCTCTCACACGTTGTGTGTCCCCATACGGAGCTCTACCGACGGCCCCAGTGGCTGCGTCCGCATCCGCACTCGGGTCTAGTTTGGCACACCGCGTATACGTTCCGTTGTCCCATAGGGAGCTCCAACGAAAGCCCTAGTGGCAGGGTGCATATGCGTACTGGGATCCATTCTGGTCCACACTTCACAAGTTTCGTGCACCATAGGAAGCTCTACTGAAGTTTCCAGTGGCAAGGTTCGCATGCACACTCTGGTCAATTCCGGCACACGTCTCCCACGTTTCGTGGCCAGGTAGGGAGCTCCACCGAAGACCTTAGTGGCAGGGTTCGCATGCATTCTTGGGTCCGTTCTGGCACACCCTGAAACCAGAACGTTCGGTTGGTGGCCCCATGGGGGGCTTCCCCAAAGGCTCCAGTGGCAGAGTTCGCATGGTTACTCCGGCATATTGCGGCACACCCCTCACTCGTTTCAGCCTGGCGCGCACTTATCTTGTCGATTGCCCACGGATGTGCACACATAGCGGAATGAAATAAACGATCGCCTCCGCGGTGAACAGGAAGAAGCTGCACTGGCGGAGTCTCACGCCAGAGACACAACCGCCTCGCGCACACTTATCTGGTCTATTGCCCAAGGACGTGCGCCCAAGGTGCGACCAGCTCTTGAAATTAAATGCATCTAATTCACTGGGCTGACCGCAGACGGACGTCACCTGCAAGCCAGCATTGCAGCCTGACACGCCTTGGCGCGAACGGCACACATACTGAGGCGCCGAACGATTCCCTTGCTGAACAATCGAACGCCAACAATGAAACACGATTGTCTCCGCAGCAAGCAGATAGAATCCGAAGTTGGGAAAGAATGGCCTCATGAGGAGCTCCCCCGACGGCACCAGTGAGAGTGAGAGTGCATGCGTGAGTGGGGCGGCTTTGAGTGTAATTGTCAGTTTCTTGGCGAAGCAGCCAGGCGTTCAGGGATACTGCATATCCCTCAATATGTACATGTGAATTGAGCTTTTTGGTTTATACTCGCCACGCGTTTGCCTTTACGGTAATTTTGGATGGAATAAAGGTGAATGCGAGAACGCATATCATACACACACAGTAAGCTCAATGATCACTAGCAAGAGATACCTAGCGGAGCAATGCTGAGGCGCAAACACCGCCCCAAGAGTAGGGAGGAGAGCGCAGCAAAGATACAATAACCACGCAAGACAGCACAATACAGCACAATACACCTACGCCGGCCCAACAGGACCCCAATCGAACTCGAAGACCGGCCAAGACGGTCCCGAACTGCCCGAGGCACAACCTGGGGCGCTGGAGAACGTCCAAGACGGCTCTAAAACAGCCACAGAGGGGCCGACGACGGCGACACAAAGGCTTCATAACCTTGCTTCGGACCAGGAGTCAAAACGAAATGGGGACCCCCTCCCTCCCCTCTGACAGTCCTCGAGCTGCCCTTGGCCTTCTCCGGGTGATAGGGTGCGAAACTTCAAGATTGAAGCACGAAGCTCATTAGTTCAATAGTTCAATCTCGAGGTTCGGGATTGAGCCTCTTCACTGGTTCAATCTGGAGTTCCAAACTCAATTATTGGGCAGGACAGGACGGCCGCGGCGCACGATTCCCACGTTGGAATCGCACGCTTCGATCGGTTCAATTCTCAATCAGTGAATCGGACGAGCCACGGATCGGCAACGAACATTGCCGATACCGCTACCCCGTGGATCTCGAAGCGGATCGAGCCGTGGCGACGAGGGCTGCCCAGAGGACCCGAGAAGGGTACTTTAGTAGTGGAAACAATTGGTGTTCAAAATGTTTGGTCTTTAGAAGCTCTGCGTGGCGACGCCCCCGTGGCCACGCGTGCCCTCTGCGTGCCTGCGGGGGCGCCGCCACGTAGACATACTGGAGACCGAGCATTTGGGGCGTCGCTACGCACGCCCTCTGCGTGGCTGCGACCATTTGCTGAAACCCTAAAGAACCAATCAAATTCACGAATAGCGTAAGACAAGGCATCGGTAACGGTTGGGGTATCTCTTTCCCTCCTGTGACAGCCAAGGCCACGGGAGCGCGGACGGGCCAGTCCCGCATGCGCGCGGGGCCCGTGGAGATGCCCTCGCTGCTGGGGCTCTGCCCACGCAGCGTTCTCCGCTTCCGTTGTGGGTTCGCTTTCTGCGGCCGTCCTCTCCCGCCGATCCTTCGCTCGCGGTCGGTTCAATTCGCGTTGAAGTCGGGCGTCCCTGGCCACTAGTGTTGAGTCGGGCGTGTCCCCCTACCGGGGGATTTTGGGCGAAAAATAGAAAATACTCAAACCATACCCCCCTAAATGCTCACGAATAATCAAAACATCGTCCCCAGGCTATTGTTATACTACTTCTGAATATTCCCCCTGTGGAGGGACGGGCCCGACTTGATCATTCGTACGCCGTGCGCCCCCTGGCCACTAGGAGCACACGTGCGGATCGCCTCTGCCGCGCTGCGGCAAACAGACAATGCTCGTTCTCCATCGCTCGGACTTCGTGCCGCGGCTGCTGCGAAAAACAGCGCCGAAACGACGGCGGTCCGCGACGTTGCCCGAGCACCGCTGGGCTCCGAGGCCCCGCGGGGACTTCTTCGGCGCGGCTGTCGGGCGCCACTCTTCTGAGAGGCGGGGCGCGTCGGGTCCCATGAAGGGGAACTGGGACAAACAAATAAATACACACACATAAGAATATCCTCCATAATTTCCGATATTTTCTGGGTTTTTGTCTTCCCCCCCACTTCCCATATTTTCCCATATTTTCTAGCGAATCGACGATTCATTGTGTGTGTGTGTGTTTTTTCCCCTCCTGTTCCCAGTCGGGAGAGCCTGAAAAGGAGGGGGGGGTGATCTTGGTGCCGGACTCTCCGTGCGCCCTGGGAAGAAGCACGACACGAGTCCGTGTTCTGTCACTTCTCGTCCGTTCTTCCCTGCCCTTCTTCCCTCCCCTTTCCCTCCTCTCCCCCCTCCTCCCCTCATCCCCCCTTCCCTCCCCTCCCCCCCCTCCCCCTCCTCTCCTCTTCCCCCCTCCTCCCCCCTCCTCCCCCCTTCCCCCCTCCCCTTGCCCTTGTTCCCTCCCCTTCCCTCCCCTCCCCACTCCTCCCCCCTTGACGAGGCTGCGCTGTTTAATGTTCCGCGGCGCGAGTTCGCGCGCAGTGTCTCTGCCCACGCGCTTGATTGTGTATGGCTGTTCGTTCGATACGCTCCGCCCACTCTCAACATGTTGACCCTGCCCGCCCCAATCAGATTCCGGCGACGCCCCTCGGACGCGAAGAGTAAAGAGAAAGACATATATAGAGAGAGAGAGAGAGAGAAAAAAAAAAAAAAGGGAGAAAGAGAGAGAGAGAGATGAAACAGGCAAGGTTTACAACTTTAGCTGTTGACGCATACCCTGCAACCCAATGCGGGCTGAGACACTCGGCGGGAGGATGGAGGGAGTGGGAAGGGGGGGGAAGGAAGGAGAGACGGGATAGAGCGAGCGTCTTCCACATGCCGTGCGTGATAGAGCATGCAAGTTCAACGAAACGACCTCGAACGCTGCGCTTGGTCACTCATGAGCTGCAACTCGGAAGCCTTGTCACGGAGCCCGAAACTCGGACGCGATCACCACTGGTGCACACAATGTGCACTGGGGACAGCAAGCGATTCACGAATCTCCTGTCCTTGAATTCATATACACACCAGTCGGAAGATGCAGGCAGAAACCTGAAGCAGGAAGGCGTTGGAAGTAGACTGGGCTTCCGCCCGCCCCCGGAAGAGAAGGGAAGAGAAGGGAACAGGAACACCCGATAACCCTTGAGGCAGGAAGGCGCCTGAAGTAGATTGGGAGCTGGGCATCCAAACATGCCCACATTGGAAGACTGGCGTGTAGCCCACAGCAATATCTTCGGGGATGGACAGACCCCCCTTTAGTAAAACGTAGTTTAGTGAAAACGACCTGAGACCCGAAGCTGGCGGACGCAAGCCTGGAAAATAACGGCCGCGGCGCCCTCTCGAGAAACGAAAACGGACAATTCACTAATCGACGTGTCATTGTTGGGGGTTCTGTCTGCCCCCGACAGCGATATTTAGAGAGAGGGAGACAGACGTAGAGAGCACGTCTTAGCAACACGAAGGCGCGGAGCGGGCGCCAGAGAGCCGTCGCCGTTGCCGATGATGGCCTGAGGAGCTCGCCGCGGCCGAGACGGGGGCCCTCCTCGTCAGCCTCCGCCTCCGCCTCCTCCTCCTCCCCCCTCCTCCTCTCCCCATTCCGTTCCTTCCTCTCCTCCTCCTCCTCCTCCTCCTCCTCCTCCTCCTCCTCCTCTCCTCGTCCTCCTCCTCCTCCTCCTCCTCCTCCTCCTCCTCCTCCTCCTCCTCCTTCCTCCCTCCTCCTCCTCCTCCTCATCCTCCTCCTCCTCTCGTCCCGCTCCTCTTCCTCCGCCCCCTGGGGCTCCTCGTCCTCCGCCCCCCCTCCTCCTCCTCCTCCTCCACGTCCTCCTCCTCCCCCTCCCCTCCCCCCTCCCCCTCCCCTCCCCTCCCCCTCCCCCTCCCCTCCCCCTCCTCCTCCTCCCCCCCCTCCCCCTTCCCCCTCCCCCTCCCCTCCCCCTCCCCTCCTCCTCCTCCTCCTCCTCCTCCTCCTCCTCCTTCCCTCCTCCTCCTCCTCCTCCTCCTCCTCCCTCCTCCTCCCCTCCTCCTCCTCCTCCTCCTCCTCCTCCTCCTCCTCCTCCTCCTCCTCCTCCTCCTCCTCCTCCTCCTCCTCCTCTCCTCCTCCTCCTCCTCCTCCTCCTCCTCCTCCCTCCTCCTCCCTCCTCCCTCCTCCGCCTCCTCCTCCTCCTCCTCCTCCTCCTCCTCCTCCTCCTCTCCTCCTCCCCTCTCCTCCTCTTCCTCCTCCTCCTCCTCAAATCCTCCTCCTCCTCCTCCTCCTCCTCCTCCTCCTCCTCTTCTTGTTCTTCTTACCAGCCCTCTTATCATTATGCTTATTATTCTTCTTTTATTATTATTATTAATATTATTTGTTATTAGTATTATTATTAGTATTATTACAACTCGTATTATTATTATTGTTATTAATATTATTATTATTATTCTTATTATTATTACTACTATTATTATTATTATGATTATTATTATTATTATTATTACTATCATTAGTATTATTATTACAATCAGTAGCATCATTATTAGTATTATTATTAATCCTCCTCGTCTTCCTCGTCTTCCTCGTCTTCCTCCTCTTCCTCCTCCTCCTCCTCCTCCTCCTCCTCCTCCTCCTCCTCCTACTCCTCTCCTCTCTCCTCCCCCTCCTGCTTCTCCTTCTCCCCCTCCGATGAGCATCGAGGCTGCGGCGTCCCTCAACAGCTCGGAGTCTTCTATCTAGGGACCAACGCAACAGAAAGATTCCAAGAGGACGAGTGCGAGAAAATAGAAGCGTGGCACGCGGCAACAGTGCTGCAAATCATGTGGTCAAGCGAGAGAAGCCGGCTAAGTCCTCCTCCTCCCCCTTCTCCTCCTACTCGCACCCCTCCCCACCCCTCACCCTTATCCTCCCCCCCCTTCGACGCCCGAATTATCCGAAATAGCTGCGGTCCAGGGTAACTCTCGTTTGGGCCCTCGAAGCACGGACCCGTAGCTACCCCCGACTGCCCCCAGCCCCCACAACTCAGGAGGGCGGGACGCCCGAACTATCGGGGAGAACTGCGCCCTGGGGCAACTCCGGGCCATGGGCCAGCGAGGCACGAACCTGCAGCTGCCCCTGGACTGCACCGGGCACTCGGGGCTCTAACCCTCCGCCCGCATCCGCCCCCCCCCCTGCGCCTCAGCCGCGCTGCCGCCGCGCGCGGCCCCCGCTGCGGGCAGCTTCTCCCGCGCGGCGGTGCTCTGCGGTTGCCCGCGCGCGGGGCTGCACGGGCGTGCACGGGGTTGGTCCGCTGGGTGGCGACATCCCCGGACCCTCCCGCGCTGCGAACAAAAAAACACAGCAGGGTGCTTTGCTGGAGGAGGAGGAGGAGGAGGAGGAGGAGGAGGAGGAGGAGGAGGAGGAGGAGGAGGAGGGAGGAGGACGGATTCCGCCGCCGATCGTCACGGCTGGGCGCGGCCCTGGCGCGGCGCTCCGGGCCGGGCGCCCTGCCTCCGCGCCCTGCCCCCCCGGGCGGTAGGCAGAGAGCTGGGCTGAGTCTCGGGCTCACGTCGGGCCTCGCGGCGCGCTGGGGGTCGCGAGCGGAGGCGGGCGAGGCGCACAATTAGGGGGCCACGTGCGAGCCCCACCCCTGCCCCCCACGATTTCTGAGGGGGAGGGCGGGGTTCGCGTCGCTCGGGAGCTCCCGAGCGAAGGGAACCCCAGCCTCCCCCTCAGAAAATCGCGGGGGGCAGGGGCAGGGTCCGCACCTCGCCCCCCCTGTGCGCAGGCAGGCGCGGCGAGGAGGACGGGCGGGCAGCGGCCCCACACCGCCCCGAGGGAGCGCGGCAGCGAGCCGGCCCCGCGCGGGGGTCGGCGGCGGGGCCCGCTCCCGCCCGGGAGCGGCACGCCTCGCTGCCCAGTTTCGAGCGGCGTCGGCGCCGCCTTCGGGCCGGGCGCCCACGCGCCGGGCCCACGGATCCCGGAGCCGCGTCAGCGTGCGCCCGAATGTTTGAGCAGGGACCGACCGTCCCGGCATTCCTATAGTCCTACAAAGAGATGTGTTCTTAGAACCCAAACATGTTCTAAGAACAGAAACAATGTTCTTAGAACGTTCCCAGCCAGAACTGTTCTAATCTCATTTCGTGGGAGCCGCAAAAAGTTCTTAGAACATTGCTTGGTAGGGCTATAGGCGAGCCAGGAGGCTCCGCCACTGCTTGAAATGTGGGAGCAGGCGCACGCGAAGGGTCGCACGCAGCCGAATGGTGGCAGCTGCAGCGCGCCCCCCCCGCGCCAGCGGAGCCCTGGGGCGGCGCCTCGCGCTCCCCGCCGCGGGCGGGAGGCCGCGGCGAACCGCGGCGGAGCGGTGCTCCAACCGGCCAGAGAGCGGGCGCAGCGATTTGACCGCTGCGCTGCACCGCTGGCGTTCTCGAATGTCGGGAGCGGCCAAGAGGGGGGCGTCCAAGAGGGGGGGGTGCAAATCATGGCCGGCGGCACGTGCTCGGCCCAGCGGGGGGGCCAGGGACGTCATGAACTAAGAAGAGGCGCCATGAAATCTGGGGAAATGCCGTGGCCCGCGCCATGAGATCCACCCCCCCCCTGGTCATCACCCCCCTCTTTGCCGCCCCCGAGAATGCACATGCCGAGGCTTCCTGCGCACCGGGCATCCTTGGGCGCCCGAGTTATCCGGGGTAACTCGGGTCCGGGGTAACTCGGGTTTGGATTCCGGAAAAAGGAACCCGAGTTAGCCCTGACCCGAGTTACCCCTGATGATTTGGGGCTCTGGACGCCCGAGTTATCCGGGGTAACTCGGGCCCGGGGTAACTCGGTCTCGGAATCCCGAAAAGCGAACCCGAGTTAGCCCTGACCCGAGTTACTCCTGATGATTCGGGGTTCTGTGGAGGAACTCGTTCGTGGCAGCGCCTCGGTGCTCCCCGGGCTTCCTCGTTCTCGTCCGCCGGGCACGGGCTGCTTGCACGCCACCGCTCGGCTCGCCAACTGCTTCGACACGCTCAGGGGGTGGCATCTGCTTTCGGGTCGGGCCTGTCCCCCTACAGGGGGATGCTGGATGAAAAATCAAGAATTCCCCGGAAATGCTCCCAAAATGCTCAAACATGGAAAAAAAAATCCTCAAACCGGGGGGTTCTGGATGCAAACTTAAGAATACCCCCAAAATACTCCCCAAATGCTCCAACATAGTAAAAAAAACTGGCCCTCAGACTATGTTGTGACTACTTTTGAAGATTCCTGCTGTAGAGTCACGGGCCCGACCTAAATCTACTTCCAGCTCGCTTCGCGACAGGCCCCTCCGCCCTCGGCCCTCCCTTCGTCGACATGGGCCTCCCCAGTGCCCGTCTCCCTGGCGCCGAGCGCAGGGGGGCAGCGCCAAGAGCCCCGGCGTGGTGCACGGCGGGGAGGGCGAACTGCACGCAAGAGGCGGCCGCGCAGAGGGACGAGGGAGGGTCGGGCCGGGCGAACGGGGGGGATCGCAAAGGGGGGGGGGTTGAGAACCGGCTCGCGTAGCTGATTTTCCCGGCGCCTCCCGGCGCCAGGAGGCGCCCACGTATGGAGGAATGGGCCCGGCGGCGGGGCCGAAGCCAGCTGCATGCAGCAAATTTCGTACCCCCCCCCCTTTCCCTGTCCCCCCCTTTCGTTCGGACCGAGAGAGGGGGGGGAGACGCCAGACCCCCTTGGATCGTGAACGCGTCATGACGCGCGGTTCGTGTTTTTGCCTGCCAAGGGGCCGTACCGGGCCTCGAGACCTTCAAGGAACGACTCGGGGTGAAAAAACGGTCCTGGGCAGTGGGTCCATACCGCTGGGGGTCCACGTCATTAAAAAATCACGCATGGGGGTTGGGGCAGGAGAGATGGTGAGGGCGGGGGCGCATTGTCGACGCCGAAAGGGAGGGGCGGGGTGGTCGTGGCGGTGGGCGTCGTGGTGGCGGTCGTGGTCAATCGTGGAGGTGGTAGTGTCGGTCGCGGTCGTGGTTAGATGGAACAAGAAATTTGGTAACCATAACCGAAAGGCGCGCGGATTTATTGAATCGGCGCTTGAACTCCCTTCCCAGCGCGCGGAGCGCGCCAGGGGCGGCGCCAGAGGAGCCGACAGGAGGCTCCAATGCTGCTCCAAGAAATCCGGGCTCACCTCCGAAAATTCCAATTTGCGCAATTGGTTGTTCCCAGAGTCGTGCCAATCAGCCGCTATCGCATCGCGCTCAGGGAGCGAGCGGACCCCGATGCGCCCGCACCAGTAGTCATTCTGGCGAGGGCTCCCTCTTACGTAACGCCGAGTCGTTTTGTCGTCATGGATGCGGGGGTGGGTCCTGTAGATGACCCTCGCAACACGTAGTAGCGCCAAACACGTGCCTGTCCACCGAAGCCCGTCAATGCGACGCAGGCGGAGTAGTGAGGGGCCGACACAGGCTGCGCTCCAGACTGTCGGTGGATCTGACCGGGGCAGAGCACACCTTGGGCTGGCGCACCTATGTTTATGCCAGTGTTTGTTCCCCGCGGGTATCTGTGCGGATTGTCGGACCCCCGAGGAGGCTCCCGTTCGAGCGGGGACCCGCAGCCGACAGCACGCACCCAAAACCTCATCCGTCCCCCCTCATGGGTATGGTATGGGTTTGGGTCGTTCGTCACCTCCCCGTGGCGTCGCCAAGGGCACCCGCGCGGCCCGTCAAGCTGCGCTGTTCAGAAACATCTCAGCGCTGCCGAGGGCCAAGCAGCTCTAGATCTTCCGCCACATGGTGATCACAGCCGATCGCTCGGCCCTCCGGCAAATGGTGAAAATCACATCCGATCGCTGGCCGTAGGATCGCACGGAAGCGACCAGCTCGCCATCAAGCAGGCACGGGGGACTCCAAAACAATTGAGATCAGCTCCCCTCCAAATGATAGGCGGCGAACGAAGGGGGGAAGTGAGAAGGGGCGGGCCTTCTCAGAAGGCTCGGAAGTCCCAAGGCCTTCTGAGAAGTTTTCTAAGCCTTCCCCGAAGACAACGAAAATGTATCAGAAGCCGCGACGGCTTCTGAGAAGTCCCGCCGCCTTCTGAATAGGCCTTCTCCTTCTTACTTCCCCCCCTCGGTCGCCGCCGAAATGAAAGATATCGGGCCCGTGCACCCCATCTGTGCGAGCCCTGGCCTGCCTGCAAGCGTTGTATTGGGTGCGCTTTACTTGTTCCCATTTTCTTCCTCCTCTCTCGTTCTTCCTCTCTATCTCTCTCTCCCTCTCTTTCTCTGCGTATCTCTGCGTATCTCTCTCTCTCTCTCTCTGGATATGTCCTTTCCTTCGCCTCGTCGTTATCAGTTTTACCCCTCCTCCTCCCTCCTCCTCCTCATCCTCATCCTCCTTCCTCCTCCTCCTCCTCCTCCTCCTCCTCCTCCTCCTTCCTCCTCCTCCTCCTCCTCCTCCTCCTCCTCCTCCTCTCTCCTCCTCCTCTCCTCCCTCCCCCTCCTCCTCCTCCTCCCCCTTCTCCTCCTCCTCCTCCCGCTCCTCATGCTAATGAGGCTCGACTGCCTCTTTTCATTCCCTTCCTCCCCCCCCTGCCTCCCCCACATCCTCCGCCGTCTGCTCCCCCCCTCCCTCCCCTCACCACCTCCGCCATCTCCTCACCCATTCCTCCGCCTGTGCCTTCCCTTTCTCCTCATCCTCCCCACTTGGCCTCACAGGCATTATGCTAAAGAGATCTCCGAGCTGGCGAAGGAGCGAGGGGACCCAGCCGAGAGCCTGGAGAGGGAAGACACGGAGGAGGAATGAGGAAATGGCACCTATCCTCCCCTGATGCCCAGCGACTGGAAGTACGTCCCACCACCTGCAGTCGATGAGCCTCCCCCTGCAGAGTGGCGCCCCTTTCCTTGTGTCCCTTTGCTCGGCGCGTTTTCGAGGCAAGCATTCACTTGCCCCCCGCCGCACAGAAAAAATACAGTGGAGAACCCATCCAGGACGATGGATAAGAAGAGGGGCACTTCCCTCACCATTGCCCCACACGTAACTTACTAGTCTACTCCTCTGCGAGATGCGCTCCCTTCATCCACGTTCACATGCGCTGCTCACCATCTGCTCCACAACCAGACAATCGCCTCCAAGCCGTTGTTCGGATTCAGCTTGCGGTGGACGGGCTCCCACCTGGAGGGCGGCAACAAGAGCATCCTCCTCCTACTCCTCCTCCTCCTCCTCCTCCTCCTCCTCTTGCTCAACATCCTCGTACATCCAACTCAAGCCAGAGCAGCTAGCAAGCACGAGGCATCTTACTCTCGATCTACGCCGTAGGCGCTGACCAATGGTCACGCGAATCTCCCACTGGGCTAGGAGAGATCGGATTGCCCATGCTGGTGACTCAAATCAGCCAGTCCCACGGGGGACAAGTGGCCCAAGACATTCAACTTAGCTTCGTGCCCCCGAACCAGAACCCCTTGCTAATTACAACACGTTTGCGCTACCGGTGCCACAATCCCTCGTGAATTGCACCAGACCCGTGCGCACGAGGCCACCACGCCGTGCGAACGAGGACACTCGCTGGCGCTTCCGAGACCACAGCCCTCTACACCTTACGACGAACTCGCGCTCCCAACACCACAATCCCGCGCACCTTGCTACAACATCGCGTTCCAGAGGACACGCTCTCTCGTATAACGTGAGTCAAGCTTGTCCACGAAGCGACAGCTCCTAGTAAATTATGACGCGGTCGCGCTCCCGAAGCAAACACCCCTGAGCAAAATACTAGAATTCTGTACGTCCAAAACCAACGTCAATACTCAGTAAGTCACGCCGCGTTCGCACTACGGAAGTCACGATCCCTCGTAACAAATATCTGGTCGATCCAATACAGATTACAACGCAATCGCGGCACATGCGGCTGCAATCCCAAATAATCTGCGACAGGTATGCGCCCCCCCCAGGCCACAACCCCGAGCAAATTGTCACAACACCGCGCTCCAGATCCCACGAACGCCCCCCATGGAGGCTGCCTAAAAGCGCCATCCACGACAGCAACAGTTCATGTCCTTTGCTGTAGTGTGATCTGGCGCGATTCGGCCCCTCCCTCCTCCTCCTCCCTCCCCCTCCTCCCTCTACCTCATCCCGCCTCTCTCATCCCTCCTCCCTCCTTCCTCCTCCCGCCTCCCTCCTCCCTCCTCCCTCCTCCCTCCTCTCCTCCCTTCCCTCCTCTCTCCTCCCTCCTCCCTCATCCCACCCCCTCGTCTCCCGAGAATTCCGCCTTGGATCCGAGGCCGCGAGAAGCTCGAACCCAGCCACTAGCTCGCGCTCCCGAAGCCGCGGGCCCGCGCGGAGGACAGGTGGGAGGGCGCGCTCCCGAGGCCACCGCCACTTCCTATTTTCCAGGGGCCCAAGGACACGCAAAGAAATACACACACATCAACATATTCTCTATAGTTTCCAATATTTACTGGGTTTCTGCCTTCCGGCCCACTTCCCATATTTTCCTATATTTTCCGGAGAATCGACGATTAATTGTGTCTGTGTGCTTTTTCCACTCCTGATATTTGCTACGCGCGCGCGCAACCAGCAGCCAGCCAACACAGCGCCGAATTCAATGGCCGACCATCTGCTGACACAACAGGCCAGATCGACCGAGTCGCCAGTCAGCAAGCGGAGAAGCCAGCAAGCGAACCGACAAGCGCGGCCATGCAAGCAGTCAGGAAAGAGGGGCCGGCGGTAGAGGGCGAAGCCCTTCAGATGTTGATTGCGATGTTGGTGACGAAGGGGGGAAGATCCACGGGGCACCTTTTGGGACTGCGAGAAAATTAGGCTGCCGAAGTAGCGATCAGTACCCAACGGGAGTTCGAAAATGTTCCAAAGAGATGATTTGTCCGGCTCTAATCGAAGGCCTCCAGGATGACTCCAAGAGGGCCTCACAAGGCCCCCAATAGGGCCCGAAAGGGGGGTCCCAAGAGGGCATCCAAGCCTCGCCTTGGGCCCCGAGAGAACTTCAGACTGGCTCTGACAGCCTCGCAGGGGCATCGAAACTCATGATTGCTGGCCTCTTCGTTTCCATATATCCCAGGGCTGAACCCGAACGGTGGTTTTCGTTTTCGTTTTGTTTTCGTTTTCCCTCGTTTTGTCTTCAATCCACCTCTACCGCGAAACGAACTCGAAACGAAAACGGCCCACGAGATCGCCAAAACACCCTTTAGGTCCGGCCCTGATATATGTCCTTCTTTCTTGTTCCCTCGTCGCGCGAGGGCCCGCCCCCGATTTTGCAAGGTCACCCCCCCTCGTCCCAGAGACCTCTCCTGCGTGCCGGCGGCGAGGTGAAACCCTCGGGGTTGCCACCTTCAGCACACCCGTCCGGCCGCGTCCCGCCGCGTCGGCGAGGTGCTCGCCCGAGGTGGGCGAGCGAGAGCAGGCGCAAGTGGCGAGCGGGAGCCGGGCCGAAGGGGGACGAGGAGGGCGGGTGAGATAGGATACGAGTACCATTGACGCCATGAATCTGCGCCCGAGAAGGGAGGAGAGGAGGAGGAGGAGGAGGAGGAGGAGGAGGAGGAGGAGGAGGAGGAGACTGAGGAGGAGGAGGAGGAGGAGGAGGAGGCGCAGCCCTGGGAGCACTACCGAGGGGGGCGCCATGGAGGTGCCAGCCTGACTGCTGGGCCCTTGCCCCCTGGCCCTGGTCTGCTCGGTTGCAAGACCCTGAGTTCCGCGGCCGCTGCTTTGGGAGGGGGGGCGCGAGGAGGATGGCGGGGAAGAGGGGACGGAGGACGGGGAGCAGCACGACAGGGAAAGAATGGGAACGAGTATTGAATAAAGAAGGGCGAGAGAAGAACGGGGGGAGACGCAAGGCGGGAGGATGGAACGAAGAACAGTGAGTCGGGGAACCAGGGAGGGAGGCATGGAGGCGGGGAGGGATGGAGACAAGACAGGGGGGGATGGCAAGCTAGGTGTGCTCGCGTCATACCCGACGTCCTACCCATCCCGCCGATCCTTTACCATGGCGTAGATATCCTCTCTATTCGCACAATCGGAAGTCGAAGCATGGCATAGCATAGCATAGCATTACATGGTGTTGAAGATCAACGCCTAGCAGGACATAGCGTGGCGTGGCGACGCCCAAAAGCGGGGGGCTTCTGCGGCCCCAAAAATCAACGAATCGGCACCGAATGTGTAACCACTTCCGATGCTTTTTTCGCAGCGTCATGTTGTAGAGTTTTGGGCGTATTTGGAAGGACCGAGAAGCATGCCGTGGCATGGCGCTGGAAATAAAGACGCCATCGCTGCAGCGGGAGCACGATTCGGAACGAGCGGAAGCGTGGAAATGAGGCAAACGCTGCAGCGGGAGCACAATTCGGAACGAGCAGTAGCCCGAAAATGAGGCCAACGCTTTAGCGACAGCAACTTGTTGAAACAATTCAAAACGAAAACCCAACTCCCGGGAATCCAGTGTGTAAGAAACCAGTGCGCGGAGGGGACCGGACTTTTCCCGGACCACACCAGGGGAGAGAGGAGAGTAGTATTCAGATTGTCTATTTATAGAAATGGGGCAAGAGGAATGAGGGAAGGAGAGGAAGGATGATGAGGAGAGATGGGAGAATGGGGCGAGGAAGGAAATGAGATGGGGGGAAGGCTCTAATGAGAAGAACGAACATGCCGTGAAGGGAGGGGAGAGGGAGGGATGACGGGAAGGGGTCCATGGACCCCCTGCCCTCGTGCGGCCGAATCAGGGGGAGACAGTCTCGATGCGCATCCTGGGCATACATGCGGCATACCTCTCTGTCAGCCAGGCGGGGCCACTTCCTCTGCTCGTCGAAGAACTTCTTCCTCTGCTCTTCGTCCATAACGCCATCCTGTCTGAGGCAGAGGTGGGAGGGTGAAACGGCAGGCTCATGCCTTGACAAAAGGTAGACCCTGGTTGCTGACACGACGCGAAGCACACAAAGTTGAGCGCCCTTCGCTTCCAGAAGACGCTAGAGGCTGACAGCTTGATTTCGTTCACAAGGCCTTTTTGGATTTGCGGTCCGCACGGATGGTAGATCAAATGTCTCTTGGCGGTGCGCAAAGGGGGGTGGAGGGAGGGGGGAAGGCCTCTTAGAAGGAGGCTCCTTCTTAGAAGGCGCCGGCCATACATCTATATAAAAGGCCCGCGCCTTCTAAGAAGCAGGGGTGCTTCTAAGAAGCCCTCCCCCCTTCCCCACCCCCCTCTGCGCGTGGCTGAGTCTCCGCGCGGGGCTGTGCTTCCCGGTGAAGCGGACAGGGGGAGTGGGGGTGCGCAGAAGGGAGGCGGGGGGGGGAGCGCGCGAACGAGCGAGCTGGGCCCGGGGTGATAACAGGGGGGAACGGCGGCTCGCCATCCCTCGGCTGTCTATTTCCCATGCACTGTTCGGCTCCAGGCATGTTTTTTTTTGTTCTATAAATGACCCAAAATGCTCCACGATGGCACTCGCCGAACAAACATGCACACGTCCGAGTGATGCCAAGGCATGAGCGGCAGAACACGTGTCTCAGCATGGCTGTGCTTCCCCATGAAACGTCAGGGATGGGGCGTGCGCAATAGGGAGGGGGGGAGCGAGCGAGCGAGCCGGCTGGGGGGGAGCGAGCGAGCCAGCTGTGCCAGGAGGGGGGGGGGGGGGGGGGGCAATCTTTGTGGGGGGGCCTCCCGAGGCCTCCAGAAGACTCCAGAGAGTTCCTGGTGCCCCAGGGGACGTCTGGAGACACCCAGGGGAGGAGGAGAAGGAGGAGGAGGGGCAGGAGGAGGAGGAGAAGATGTAGGAGGAGCAATGGAGGAGGAGGAGGAGGAGGAGGAGGAGGAGGAGGAGGAGGAGGAGGAGGAGGACTTTTGGGGTGACCCGAAAGGGGGTCCAGCTGCAAAGGGGTGGTGCAATAGATTTGGGGCAATTAAATTGCAAATGTATTGCGCCCGAGAATTGCATTGCATTGTATTGCTACTAATGCATTGCACGCGAAAATCCAGCAATCACCCCCTTGTCGCTGGACCCCCTTTTGGGTCAACCCGAGAGCAGGAGGAGGAGGAGGAGGAGGAGGAGGAGGAGGAGGAGGAGGAGGGAGGGGGAGGAGGAGGAAGGGAGGTGGAGGAGGAGGAGGGACGGCAGCAGCACCATCGGCAGTACGTGGCAGTAGCGGCAGGCGGGTCGGAGAGAAAGTGGGGCGAGGGCGGCGGGGAAAAAGGAGGACGAGGGGGGAAGGCAATACTGCCATCAGCGGCAGGAGAGGGAGGAGATATGCATGACATGTGATTACCAGGCAGTCGGACCCAAGACAAACGAACATCCTTCAAGAACGTGAGACCCTCCGCCGGCCAAACCGAAGAACATTCGAAGGCACCCTTCCCTCAGATATACGAGAACATCCAGCAAACACGGAGAACATTGGAGTAACCTCCGCGAACCGACCTCGATATTATACCTCGGACCGACCGTACTGAATGCGAGCAGGAGGAGCATCAGCGTGCGGAGCAGATGGACCAGCAGTAGCAGGAGAAACACGATGATCACCATCAGGATGCGGGGGAAAGTGGCGGACAAGGATGCCACGACGAGAGATGAGGGAGGTGAGTGTTAACGAGGGGGGGCGACTTCTACTAAACGGATTCGATGGCAATCGTACCAGTGACGCCAAGGCGAAACCGACCACGACGAGGTCGAAACCATCCCCGAAGGGGTGAAGCAGGGGGGGCGCAAGGAAGAGAGAGCATTTAGGGGGAGAGATGTGAATGACGGGGAGGATCTGCAGAAGGAGGAGCCACCACGGTACCCGCGGCAACACGTTTTGAATGTTAAGCTGGCTGTTGGCTGCCCAGCAGAGCAGAGTCTGTGCCATCCCCCCGAAAAAGACCCTCAACTTAGACCCCTCCCAGAGCAAGCGGAGGCGGAGGAGGACGCGGAAGAGGCAGCGGGTAGGGGGGGGACGAAGGGTTTGGGGGGAAGAGACACAAGGGGAAGAGGGGAGAAGAAGGACATGAGAAAGGAAGAGGACCACCCCTTCTACCGCTTGTCCTCAAGCCTCGCCGCTTGGGGCCCGATCGCAGCCTGGGACCTGCACTCAACACTTATTCCTGCGAGGCCGTGGACGACACATACTGGTGAAGGCTATCGATTACTGGAGTCGCGAATGGGCCCGCACGTAAAGCTGCGCCCCACACCAGCACCCCGATGCCATGTTTGATTCCGCCCTCCCCGTTCAAAGAAGGCGAAGGACCAAAAAAGAAGGAGGCGGTGGAGCAGGAGAAGACGAGGAGTAGGATGAGGAAACGGAGGCAGCGGAGGAGGCGGATCGAGGATCGAGTGTCACCACCCCTAAGCAATTTTCACACGTCTTGAATACCCGGGGCGAGGGGGCTCGTCGCTACGGCTGGACCCGCCCCTCGAGGTTCTGGACAAGAGGCGTTCCGAGGCAAGTCTGGGATCAATTTTGCAGAAGGACCAAGCCTCGAGTCCTGAAAGGCCCACCTCGGGTCTGGGAGATCGTCGGCTGTGAAGTCGGTCACCACGAGTAACCACGTGTTTGACCAATTGCGACGTCGAGGCTCGGGAATGGACGACAACTATAGGCGGGGGGGCTGCGAGGCAGGGAGGGGCGGGGCAGAGGGTAGGTCGATGCGACAATGGGGATGGGAGAATGGGGAGAGGGGTGCAGGAGGCGATGAGCAGCGCTTCGTGCCATCGCTCGGACGCCCATTCCTCGTGCATGTTCCGGTGGCGAACCTCACCAGTTCGCAGGATGATCCAGGATGCTCCTCGATGGTCCTCGCCGAACAAAAAAAACAGCGCACACGTCCGAGCGATGCCAAGGGCAATGACAAGAATGTTTCACAGCTGTTAGGAAGGGGGGGCTCCATGGCGGTTCCAGGAGAGTGGATCCGTCCAACGCCCCGCCCGCCCGTCCCGATACGCCCGTGGGGACCAGTCTTTCATGGCCCGCCCGACCCGAACCGCCCGAGTCAAGGATCCCAGCCAAGTAGACGAGGACTCTCGGTTTTGCGTCCCACGTGCCCCTCCTCTCCCTCGGTCTGCATCTCCACTCTCCCATCTGTCCGCCGCCGTTCCTCTTTCTCGTCGTCGTCGTCGTCGCGCTCGCCGCCCGGGCACCGCGCGCGCAGGGACTCCGCCCCCCGCGCGGGGTCCTTCTCGAGCTGCTTCTTGAGCTTCCCCATCTTCGAGGCAATCGCGCTGTCCTGGCGCGCGTGGGCGGGGCGGAGCAGAGCACGGCGGCGCCCCCCTTGAGAGGGCGGGCCGTTGCTGGCCTGCGCAGGGGGCCGTGGCCCCGGAAGCCGCGCGAGTGCGGGAGGAGGTCTTCCCCGACGTGCTCCTGGAAATTTCGACGTCCAGAATTTTCATGTTGCTCACCACTCCTCGGCAGAGTCGTCGATGCCGCTCTTCTCTTGGTGCGCGGGAGGGGGGGGGAGGGTAGGATTAAGTCGGGCGTGTCCCCCTACAGGGGGATCTTGGACGAAAAATGAAAAATTGTAAACAAACAAACAAAAAAATCACAGAAAAGCAACAACAAAAAATACTAAAACATGGTAAACAAATCGTCCCCTGACTATTTTTTACTATCTTTGAATCAGGCGGGCCGCGGGAAGGACCTCGGCCCCTGGGCATGGCCACGCCCGCACAAGCAAGATACTCCCAGCGCAGAGTCCGCTTCGATTGGGAGGGGGGTGCCTTTGAGGAGGGTCGTCCGTCCCCGAACGTCGGAGGGAGGGAGGGAGGGAGGGAGGGAGGGAGGGGAGAGGGAGGGGGAGAGGGAGGGAGAGAGGGAGAGAACGAGGGAGGAAGGGAGGGAGGGAGGGAGGGTGGGAGGGAGGGAGGGAGCGAGCTGCAGCAGCAGCAGAGGGGGAGCACGTGCACGTGGCTCCAGGGCACCTGGAGCAGGCGAGGGGAGGGTGGCAGAGCTGGACGAGGAAGGCACGAGGAGCAGGGGGGCAAAAAGATTGAGCGTGTCCCCCTGCAGGGGGATTTTCGATGAACATAAAAAAATACGCAAACAAAAATACTCCACAATGGTTAAAACAAAAAAACATACTCAACAGACTAGTTCCAAGACTTGTTTCTTTTATTCCATTTTGAACAACTCCCCGGTAGAGGGACAGGCCCGACTTCACAAAAAGACGGAACAACAAGAAACGGCTCGGGCGGGCCACAAGACCACAGCAACACGCATGGGACGAAAACTCAAGCCCCGGGAAAGGCGGCGAGATGTGCAGGGGCGGGGTTTGAAACTTCGACGGTGCCGAACAAGGGAAATACGAGGCGGTACCCGCACTGGTCATCAACTTCCTGTCGTCCTTCCTCCTGCCCTCCTCCCTCGGACCTCTGCCGGAGCGCGCTCCGACCAGAGATCTCGAGGCGAGCCCCACGGAACGCAACGGTGTCCTCCCGGGAGGCCCGCAGAGACAAAAGCGCGGCACGGGCGGCGGCATCGGGGTACCTGAGCATTTTCCTAGGCCGGAGGGCTCAGGGTGAAACCCATATATGGGCCTTTGCACCTCGAGAATCAATCCGTCGTGTGATTCACCTGTTGCAGATTCAAGCCTCGAGAATTCATCGAAACGGCATCTCGGATTTCACCCTTTGCCCTCCACCCAAAAGGACATGCTCGGGGTGCGCCTCTGCCCCCTCCGCACCCAACCGCCGTCCCGGCGCAAACCCTGGGCAGGGGGCCGAGAGGCCCAGGGGCCCAGGACTCGGGCCACCCCGCCGCCAGATGCAGAGGTCCTCACCGCCGTCTCCCCGTCTGGGGGGGAGCTGCCCCCGGGCAATGCCGAGGGGGAAGGTGCCCAGGGTCGAGGCAGATCCTGGGTCAGCTCCCCGGGGCCGCGAACGAGAATTGGCCCAGTATCCGCATGCAGACCTTTACCCTGGAGCGTCGGCAATTCCTCCCCCGCCTCCCTCTCTCGTCCGCCCTCCTGCTCCCACTCCACTCCAGCAGCTCGGGTCCAGATTCAGCAGGTCCTCTTTCGTGACCTCCCTGCTCCGGGACAGCTGGGCCTTCTTGGGCACGTTCGCGTCCTTGCGTTTCCGGAGAAGTTCACAGCACTCCCCACGCACACAGACGACCACACTGCAGGGCCTCCCAGTGTACGTGTCGGGAGCGGCCAAAAGGGGGGTGTCCAAGAGGGGGGGTGCAAATCATGACCGGCGGCATGTGCGCGGCCCAGCGAGGGGGCCAAGGACGTAATGAAGTAAGAAGCGGCGCCATGAAATCTGGGAAAATATCATGGCCCCCGCCATGATATCCCCCCCCCTAGTCATCACCCCCCTCTTTTCTGCCACCGAAGTGTACGTGTGAGGAGGATGAAAAGGATGGATGAGGCAGAGGAGGCAGAGGGAGTGCGCTGGGAGGGACAGGGGGGGAAAGGGAGGGGAGGGAGCGGGGGCAGGAGTCAAGGGGCCCCAGGACACACAAATAGATACACACAAATAAAAGGATTCCCCATACTTTACAATATTTTCTGGGTTTCTGTCTTCCCCCCACTTCCCATAGTTTCCTATATTTTCTGGGGAGTCGACGATTTATTATGTCTGTGTGTTTGTTCCCCTCCTGAAGGAGGGTGGGAAGGAAGCGGCGACCCTGGGCCTGGGCCGCGAGGCACCTACGTGCGTCACGGGGTCGGTGCCAGACTGGCCTCAAGAGGAGGAGGAGGACGGAGGAGGAAGGGGAGGAGGGGCAGGAGGAGCAGGAGGAGGAGGAGGAGGAGGCGACAAGGGGGGACGGACACACGCCACATACGACCTGAAACATGTGAATCGCACCAGCTCGGGTAGGTGTGCGAGAAGGGCCCTGGGAACATGAAGCCCGCCACTCATATGTGAACTAGCCCGCGGATGCCGACACCCAGCACAGCTCGAAAACATACTTTAGATCCAGTATCCTGCTCATGCTCCACATAATCCTACTCCTATTCAGCCTGCTCCGTTCCCCCCGTGCCGGTTACCCTCTGGCTGCTACGCGGCTTTGCGCTTCTGGCTCCTCTGGTGAGCTGGTGAGCCACAGTCACGCATGCAAAACTGCGAAACAAGCAAACAAGAGAAGGAAACACTCCATCTGGAGTGGCTGCTGCGACAAGCGCACAGGACAGGAGACTCCGACAGTCGTCGGTCGCTCGACTTTGCGCCCAGACCCTATTCCTTCTCTCCCCGCAGCACACATGTTGCTGTTTTGCTGTCTGACCGACGGTCAGAAAAGGCCGTTGGTAATTCAACTTATGTTTTTTTCTGTCAGCATGGGCGTGCTGCCGTCGGCGTTGCAGACTGCGCGACGGGAGTGGCACTGGCCGCGCGCGGAAGTGCGCAACGTTGGTCTCCTTTCGGCGCCGCGCTCACGTCTGCTGAGACTTCAGCTCCCGCCCGGGCGCGGCGCAAATTTGAGCGACGATCAAAAACGGGTCTTACGCGAGATGACGTAGCGACCTTACGCGGCGGCTTACGCGGGCCGCCAGCGCGGCACGTTACATCAGGAACGAGGGCGCTGACGCGCGAGCTTACGCGGGTAGCATACGCGCCACTGTCGGTGAAGACGACCCCGTTTTCTTGCGTCGCTCATTTGTAAACCGCCAGTTCGTCGAAGCGCGAGCGGATGAGACTGTCGCTTTCGTCTCGGCGCCGCGCACACTTCCCCTGGCTGTGTCGGCCCCGCCTCGGCGCGGCGCGTCATTTTTCGCTGGTCAGGCCGCTGGGGGGGCGGGGGGCCGCGCGCGTGCCGAAGGACTTGCCACCGACGCTTCTCGCGCCGAGTCGCATGGCAACGGCAGCGGCAGCGGGGCCGCACGGGAGCGGGCGACGTGCCGTGCGCGCCCAGGGGGCCCCGCGAACTGCGCACGAGGGTCACAAACTGTTTCCGCCTGGCGCTCGCTTCGTGCCCGCTGCGCGCGTCAGGAACTGGCCGTCCGAGAGAAGAAATACGGCTCTCGCCTCCTCCTCCTCCTCCTCCTCCTCCTCCTCCTCCTCCTCCTCCTCCTCCATTTCCTCTCCCCATTCCTAGCCCTTTCGATCAGGGTCGGCGGCACCGGCCGTCAGGCCTCTCCAATACGGCTCTCGCCGCAGCGTCGGGCAACGATTGTGAGGCTCCGCTCCCGCCCGTGCGTGGCCCGCCGTTTGAGCTCCCTGGTCAAAAAATCGTCGGCAGCATGGCCGCGCGCGAGCGGCTTCGACTCGCCAGGTGGGAACGCGTTCCAGTCCCGGTGCCAGGTTGTGACACCGCATGTTGATGACTACTCCTTCTGGCCGGGCCATTCTGCCGCGTGAGACCTGGCGCATGTCATCATCACCCTACTCCCCCTCGCTCTCCTCCTCCCTGTCCTCCTCCTCCCTGTCCTCCTCAACCTCATCCTCATCGCCCTCCTCCATATCCGCACTCCCCTCCTTCTCCTCCTCCTCCTCCTCCTCCTTCTCCTTCTCCTCCTCGACCTGCTCCGACGCCCGCTGTCCCAGTGCCGACGAGCCCCCACGCCGCCATGCCGCCTTGCGCTTCCGGCACCTCACGCCCCCGCCGATGTTGGACAGGTCGGCCATCTCGTGCAGGAGGCAGTCTTGGCCTGAGAAGGGAGGCAGGAGGAACGACCATGACGAGGACGAAGGGGGGGAGGAGGGGGGAAGACAGCGACGTGGCGAAAGGGGACAATGAGAGCGGGGGGGATTGGATACAAGCAAGATGGGAGAGATGGAGGCCGGAGAGGATAGGGAGGAGGCGAAATGACAGGGCTCCTCCTCCTCCTCCTCCTCCTCCTTCTCCTCCTCATCCTCCGCCTCCTACCCCATCCTCCTCCTTTTCCTCCTCCCCCTCCTCCCCCTCCCCCTCCTCCTCCTCCTCCTTTTCCTCCTCCTCCTCCTCCTCCTCCTCCTCCTCCTCCTCCTCATCCTCCCCCTCCTCTACACCCAAAGCACATCCACTCAACGTCGGTATTTCTGACGGCCCTAGGGCCCGAAGCAGCCGTCCACCCCCGGAACCCCGAACCGAGAAGAGAGAGAGAGAGAGAGGAGAGGAGGAGGAAGGGAGGAGGAGAGGCAGGGAGGAAGGGAAGGGGAGGAGGAGAGGAGGAAGGGAGGAGGAGATGGGAGAGGGGAGGAGAGGAGAGGAGGAGGGAGGGAGGAAAGGGGGAGGAGGAGGAGGAGGAGGAGGAGGAGGAAGGGAGGAGGAGAGGGAGCAGGGGGGATCGCAAGGGGGAGGACCTCGGGCGGCAGGCGCCGCGCCCGGTGCGTGCCCCGAGGAGCCCGCGCGTCGCCGGGAGGCGAACACTTAGAGGACGGGAGGGCGGCCCTCCCTCCTCGGGCCCGGGACGGGGGCCGCCCCCGGGGGCGAGCGCTGCGACGATGAAGGGGCCCCAGGACACACAAGTACATGCACACAAATCAAACTATTCCCCATACGTTCCCATATGTTCTGGGTTTTTGTCTTCCCCCCCCCTTCCCATATTTTCCCACATTGTCTGTGGAATCGACGATTCATTGTGTCTGTGTTTTTTCCCTTCCTGAGACGAGGGTGGAGCGAGGGAGCGGGGTGCCGAGAGGGAGAGAAAGGCTCTACGGCTCTTGTAGCGGCGGGGAAGCACTGGCCTGCGCAGGCAGTGCTGGCCCGCCTGTGCGACGGTGCTGCTGAGCAGAGCTGCGTGAGCCTGCTGCGGCTGGCGTCTGGCGCAGTGCAGGATGGGCGGTAGCAACTGGCCGGGATGGAGGCGGGGGGGGAGTGCGAGAAGGGGCGAGGAGCGACGAGCGAGGAGGCAGGAGGGAGGCGGGCTCATCGGCGGCGAGCCTGGGGGGGGACGCGAGGAGGGGCGGGCCTTCTCAGGAGGCTCGGGAAGCCTCGGAGTTTCTGAGAGATTGGTGGAATCTTCCCCGAAGACGCAGAGCACTTCTCGGAATGCGAAAGGGCTCCCGAGAAGCTCCGCCGCCTTATGAGACGGCCTGCTCCCTCTCACTTCCCCCCTGTCGCCGAGCCGAGAAAAGAAGAGCGAGGAAGCGGGAACGACGGGGGCGGAATGAATGGGGACGGATGCTGGTGAGCGGCGGAATGAACGAGGCATGCCGGCAAGGAGATGGGGTGATGAGGCTGGCGAGGGTGAAAGGCAGGATGAGGGATAACAGGAGCATGAAAGGAATATGAGCACGATGGTGAGGGATGCGAGAACACGTCGAGCTGCGGAACAAGAGGGGTACCAGAACGGTGATGCTGACGCAATCAAGACGAGGTGAGGAGAAACAGGAGGATGAAAAGCACAAGGACGAGGAGGACGTTGAGGCAAGGGATGGAGGAGGAACGATGATGGACGACGAGGCAGGGGAATCAGGAGGAGCACGACGTAGGCAAGGGCAAGAACACCCCCTGGAATTATCGCTGACACCCTCGTCGATGATCCCGGCACGCGCGCACGAGCGTGGCCTGGCTCCAGCTTCCTCGGGGGCGCGAGCAGCCACATCGCCTTCGAGAAGGCGCTCGGCACGCTCCACTGCCGCGGCCACCACTCCTGCGGGGACAGCAATGGCAGGCGACCACAGCCACGTCGAGAACGCATCCTGGGAGGTGCTTCCCGCATGCGCACAATCGTCAGAAGACTGAAATCAAGCTACTTAGTACTGGTTTTATGTCGGGCGTGCCCCCCCACAGGGGGATTTTCCACGATAAATGAAAAAAAACATCCAAAAACACCCCAAAAAGGTAACAACAAATGCTCAAAAAATAGTCCCCATACTATGTTCAGAGTATGCTTTGGCTATTTTTGGAGATCTTTTTTTCTTCTTCGTCGAAAGTCCCCTTGTATGGGGGACAGGCCCGACTTAGTACTGGCTGTGGTCGACGTGGGCGCCCCGGACGGCCACATCGACCACAACAAGCACACAGCCAGAGTGCTCATATGTCAAGGTCGGATGGTTTCTCCCCCGCGGGGCCCTGCAGAAGAAATCCACTTGACGGCCAACTCAACCACAAACACACAACCAGAGTGCTCATACGTCAAGGTCGGCGGATTCTCATCCGCAGGGCCCTGCAGAGAAATCCACTTGACGGCCAAATCAACCACAAACACAACCAGAGTGCTCATACCTCAAGGTCGGCGGAGTCTCCCCCGCAGGGCCCTGCAGAAAAAGCCACTTGGATCCACTTGGTTGTGGCTGTGGTTCTCCGCTGTACAGAACTCCACGACCGGCGGACGGAGAGCAGGAGGCCGAGGCGGAGGCCGGAATGGGCGGAGGTGGCCGAGGAAAGGCGAGTCAGGCGAGCGGGAGGCGAGTCATGGGAGGCGCGAGCGAGCAGGAAGCACAGGGCAGGGACGCGAGGCAGGAGGGCGCGGGGCAAGAGGGGAAACGAACGGGGGAAGCGGAAGAGAGCGGGCGGTACGTAGTACAGCCCTCGTGCTACCACGGGGAGCACAAAAAGCGCCGAATGATGAACGAAGGAGCGCTCGAGGCCATTGCGAGCCTCGGCAGCGAATGGGTTCCCCGACCTAGATCTGAGAGGCTGCCCGAACACCAAAGCTTATCCTGAGCCCAAGTAGTCTGGACTGCAGCGGAATGCCAGTCATCAGCGATGCCTCAGCTGGCCATATAACGCGGCCCTCTGGGGGTGGCTCAAGACAGCAGTCTCTCTCCGAGGCGCGGTGGCAACGAGGGTGGAGGGGGAAGCCATTCAGGAGGGGGAGGATGAAGTTGAGGAATGGAGATGATGATGCGCATAGTAAGGGCGATGGCGAGCAGATGACAAGTGACGAATACGAGGAGGAACGGGAAAATCATGAGGTCGATAGGGGGGGTGGGGGGGAGAAGGGTAAAGAGCAACGGGGGGATCATGCAAGGACGAGAAGACAGGTTGCAAGGCTACTTGGGACATGTTGTAAGGCTACTTGGGACGGCGGGACTGCAGGCCACCACAAGTGTTGTCATGTCTGCATCGGCACTGCTAATGCAATTAGTGTCTGCGCCCCTGCACATGAGACATGGGATGAGACGCAAGAGAAAGAAGCGGGCGCTTGGTTGCACGTCAGTGGCAACCGCTTGGCGGACTATGAAGCGCAGGACCCACCCGCCACCCCAAGAATCCAGATCTCGAGCGCCGCCGAAAGCTAGCACGGTGGGCTGCTCGGCACGTTGCACATCACACGGGCCGCATCCTCAATCACCGCTGCAAGTGTTCCTCATGTGCCGAAACCGCGGATTTAGGAGGGTGTGTCTTCGATCTGTGCGATCTGGTGGCCGACCTCGTTGGGGCCAGGTCGAGCCAGTCAGTCCGTGGCAGCCAGGGACGACGGATGCTTGCAATGCGGCCGAGACTGCGCCGCTCGCTCCCGCTTCACTCCCACGCCGTGCTCCGGGGCCCCCGGGGTGCTCGACGAGGGCCGCCCGTAGACCTCAGAAACTGCGGTGGGCCGGCAGTGGGACCCATGGCCCGGCCTGGGTGCTTCGGGCACTGGGAGCCGACAGTTGCCGGGGGCACCCACTTGGATGGCCGCGGCGGCTGCTAGGTGGTTAGCGCGGATACTAAGGGGTTAGAGGATTTAGTATGTACGTACAAGTGAGTTGTAAGTAGGTTATAAGTGTTGTAAGTCGGATGTAAGTTGTATAACCAGCTACAACTGGTTAGTAGGAGATACTAACCACTTATAGCTGGAGGCTAACCTTGCTAAGTCTCTAGTAGAGGTTAGCTCGCTAAGTCCCCACTCTAGCTACCACTTGCTAACCACTTAGTAACCACTTAGCTGCCACTTAGTAACCACCCAGTAACCACTTACTAACCACTTAGTAACCACATAGTAAGTCCGCTAGCTAGCTTACTTACTAAGTGGTTAGCGGACTTACTAAGTGGTTAGCGGACTCTGAGAAGGAGAAGGAGGAGGAAGAGGAGGAGGAGGAGGAGGAGGAAGAGGAGGGGGAGAGAGGAGGAGGAGGAGAAGGAGGATGAGGAGGAGGAGAAGGAGGAGGAGATGTCGAGGAGGAGGAGGAGTAGGAGGAGGACGGGGAGGAGGATGAGGAGGAGGAGGAAAGGGGGAGGCGGCGGCGGAGGCGGCGACGGGCGCGCCTCAGCCCAAGACGGCCGCTCGACGCGGCGGCCCTGCAGGGCCGCCGCGTCGAGCGGCAGCCTGGCGCGGCTGAGCGCGGCGCAGGCGAAGTTCGCCTGCGCCGCGCTCTGCGCCGCCATCTCCAGCGGCATTGCCGCTGGCGCGGGCGGCGGGGGGGCCCCGCGCGCCGCTCGGCAGCCAGAGCGGCCCACCGCACGTAGCCGTCGTCCACAACCCAGAGGGTTGGGGGACGACGACGTGCGACGGGCCGATGGCTGCCGAGCCCGTCCCACCCCTCGGGGATGTCGAGGAGGATCCCCGACATCCCCGAGGGGTCCTCCGAGAGGAGACTGCCCCATGGCTCGGGGTCGCCATCGAAAAACATGTCTTGATATGTTTTTCGATGGTGATCCCGAGCGGCGAAGCAAAGGGAAAAGGGAGGGCGCGCTCCCCGCGCGGCCTGTAAGCCGCACGCGCGCGGGCGGCGTCTCCTCCTCCCCCCCCCTTCTATCCTCCTCCTCCTCCTCCTCCTCCCTCTCCTCCTCCTCCTCCTCCTCCTCCTCCTCCTCCTCCTCCTCCTCCTCCTCCTCCTCCTCCTCCTCCTCCTCCTCCTCTCCGCCTCCTCCTCTCGCCCTCCTCCTCTCGTCATCATCATATACTCCTCCCTCGTCCTCCTCCTCCTCATCCTCCTCCTCGTCCTCCTAACCCTCCGCTCCTCCCTCGTCCTCCTCCTCCCCTCATCCCCTCCTCCTCCTCCTCCTCCTCCTCCTCCTCCTGCCTCCTCCTAGCTCCATGCTCTCTCTCCTTCCCTCCTCCTCCTCCTCCTCCTCCTCCTCCTCCTCCTCCTCCCCTCCTCGTCCTCGTCCTCCTCCCCCTCCCCCCCCCCCCCCCCACCCTCCCCATCCCTCCTCTCGCTCTGAGCTATCCTCGTCGTTTTCCATCCTCCTCATGCTCGCTCCTCCTCCTCCTCCTCCTCCTCCCCCCACCCCCCCCCCCCCCCCCCCCCCCCCCACCCCCCCCCCCCCCCCCCCCCCCCCCCCCCCCCCCCCCCCCCCCCCCCCCCCCCCCCCCCCCCCCCCCCCCTCGTCAGAGGAGGGGGGGGGAGAGGAGAAGGGGGAGGGGGAGCAAGATGAGGAGGAGGAGCAGCAGTAGGAGCAGGAGGAGGAGGGGGAGAATGGGGAGGATGCGGGGAAGGAGGAGTTTGAACGACCGCACCACTGATCAGCGACATTAGCGCTGCAGCGCAAGAGGAGGAGGAGGAACGAGGCGGAGGAGAGGAATCGGCGACCATGCACTGTTCAGGTGCTGCAGCACCGAAGTGTCAATGAAAAAGGTGCGCTATGCAGAAGGAATCCACGTTTTCAAGGCGGAGAAGAGGAGTCGTCGACCATGCCACGTTCAGGTGCTGCAGCACCGAAGCATTTAGCAATGTAAAAAAGTGCGCTGCAGCGCCAGTAAGGAATCCACGTTTTAGGCTAAAGCGCACCACCGCGGCTGCGACCATATCGGGCGCGCCGCTCGGATGCCGCCGCCCTCGTGCGGCGCCCACGCGAGCGAGCACACGATGCTCGCCGTGTGCGCCCAGAAAGCGTCGGCATCGCCGCCAAGCACGTGCGCGGAGGCGCGCGGGTGCAGCTTCTCCTTGAAGAAGTAGGGCAGGACCAAGCTCAAGCCATAGTAGTGGCCGTTCTTGGTGAAGGAGAGGTGTTTCAACACCTCGGCCGCAATGTGTTCCCCTCCTCCGTCCTCCAACAGCACGACGTCGCCGTATTTGACGTCGTGGTAGCGGCACCGCGATGCAGCGGACGTAACAAAGTCCGCAGGCCCGAACTGCTGCAGCAGTTCGCGCGAGATGGCCTTGGACGGCCTGGTGGCGCTAACCAGGCAGTTAACCTTAAAGGTGCCGCCATCCATGAGCTGCCACAGGTGCCGCTCGGTGACGCTCTTCAGGACATTGGCGTCCCAGCCGCTGGAGGCTGCAGCCCCCGCCTGAAGAGCGTTCGCAAAGCGCTTGCTGGTCTTGTGCTTGCGCTCCAAAACCCAGCACGACGGCAGCGCCACATGGCCCCAACGCCTCACGTAGTTGGCGAAGTGGCGCAGGTGATGGAACTTCTGCGCCATCGTTTCCTTGCCAAAGACGCTGCTGTATGACAGCAAAAACATGTTAACCGCAGCCTGCAGCTTATCCGCGTCTGCCTGACGCCTGGATACTCGTAGGATTTCTTCCACAACGATCGTGTGCGCCTCGAACTCTGCGCAAGCAGATCGGACTGCAGGCGCTGCAGCGTCGCTAGCCACCTCCCTGAAGAAACACGTCAATCCGCCCGCGCGAACGCATGTCCGAACAAGAGGGGCGCAGTACATATCCTACAGAAATTCACGCGCGCTGCAGCGCATGTATTATTGGTCTGGCGGGGGCGCGAAGCATGCAATGATGCTTGCATGGTTGTGAGCCCCTCGCTGGCGGTACACTTGAA